GGAAAGTGACCTGAGTGCGCCATCTTTGACATGGAAAACTGCACTGAAGATTGCACAGGACAAGGAAAGCATGGAAAGTCCTCTCTGAAGCCTCATGTGCCACTAGGCATAACGAGAACTGATGATGATGATGATGATGATGTTAACTGTCTAGTATCTTCTCTGTCTCCCTTTGCCTCTTTTCCCCTCCAAATTTCCCACTGTCACAATGGATTCCAGTTTTCTCCTTCTCATGACATGACCAAAGAATGTAGACTGTCTCCTTCTGATGTGGGCAACCAGTTCTCTTTATGAGTCACTTTCTTTCAAGACGTCTTCAATATTACTTTTATCTTTTGATGATATTCTCATCATTCGTCTGAAAAAACACATTTTTGGTGCTTTCACATAATTTTTCACTGTCAAATTGTTCATGATTCTCTTCCATACATCAGAATAGGATTTATAAAGCCATCTCTGATAGGATCTGTTATAAAAAAAAGCATTACAGTTATCATGACTGACGTTATAGCAGATCTGATGTAACATGACAAAAACACAAACATTTTTATCACTGATATACGACATCATTTCTAACAGAGCATATAAACAGTAAAATTTCATGACTGATATTACAGCATTTCTGAAACAACATAACATGAGCACTATAATTTTCATGATTGTCACATGACAGCATTTCTGACATGATATCATAAACATACTTATAATTTCAAAATTGACATTCAATGTCAACTTTGACATGACATAATTCAAATATTACAATTTATGTGACTGTCAAATGACAGTCTCTCTGACATATCACACGCACAATATAATTCCCACGACTGTCACATGAGGACACATCTTGATACCCATGTGTGAAAAATGTCATGTCATTTGCTGTAGGTACAAACATTTTCAAGGGCTTCGTTAAAAAAAACACCACAAGAAAATTAACAATAACAATTGCCAAGAGCAAGCAAGATCCACTGTTCAACAATGAGCAAGATTGTTGTCAAAAAAAAAAAAAAAAAAAAAAAATGGGGAACACATCCATCAATGAAATTTCGTCACGATCATTTCATCATTTCAAGAAAAAATTGAAACAAAACACAAAATACACAGAAAAAAAAAGATTAGGACGTACTTTGGACAATAATTATGAAAAATATTGCATTTGAATTTAAACATAAAGTATTTTGTTTTTTAATCACTGCATTTGTGTCTGAACTGGTGAGAAAAGAAGGTAAAGCATAGGGTAAAAGACATTGTTTAAAAACAATTTTTTTTTCTTTAAGTAAAACAAGTTCCAATTTTTGCTAGCCACTTATTTTTAAAACCAACTGGCAACTGAATGGGTGATTTGCACAACATTATGCATCAAACTTTACTTCCCAGAGCCTTTCCTGGTACCCCACAAAGACAATGTTGCCCTAAATCCACCTTGCATTAGCAGATTCAACAATGGCAACTGAGTCGCTTATCGGTCCGCCACTAAAAGCTCCCACTCGATGCCTCTTCAAAACCGATTGCTGAAAGGCAGAACTTGACCAGAGATAAGGACAAAATAAATTCTGTTTAAAAAGGTAAAAAAAAAAAAAAAAATTGCCTTTCCAGAAATGCATTCAACAGGATTAACATCTCAAGGATGAGAATCAAACAGGGACAAATCCGGGGAACCCTGATCAACAGTAGAGCAGTATAGCGCAATTAAATTGAGGCACCAGAAAACGGTTACGGCATAACATGCAGTTTAATGCAAATGAGTTGTTTAAGTAGATTTTTATCCCACCTCTTCAGGATCAGGCGAGTCAAACTGAAAGCTGGTCACTAAATTAACACATAGTGCTATTCTTCTTCTACCCTTTATCTCCCAGTGGAGCATAGGCCCTCAACTAACTCACAAGTCATCCTATCCTTTGCTATTGCAGGCAGCTCACCCGACATCCGCCCAATTTAAAATAAATATTTTTAAAATTTCTCTTAACTCCCATCTCCATGTGGTTTGTGTGTGTGTGTGTGTGTGTGTCTGCCTGTATTATAATGCTGGTTCTAGTATAAAGACATTCTAGTTATACTGTTCACGGGTTTTCTCAGTGTGTCCTATCCAACGATAGCATCTTTTTTTTTGGTTTCACCTCATGTAGTCACTGGGGCTGCATAACACTGATCTAACTACATATTTAACAGCCTTGTGTTAATTCAGCCCTCAAGGGAAACAAAAAAATAGTAACAGTGCCCATTGCCAGGAATTAGGTAAGAGATAACTAAGGATAGGACTGCGACTGAGCTTGGCTCCTCATCCTGTACAATGACCCTTGCTCCCAGGTTAACCTGGCCTTGAGTGGGTACCAAGTGAAGTCATAGGAAGTAAAGTGGCCGATGTGTTGACCACATCCCCCCAGCTCCAGTGTTGCTTGGTCTATAAAATGTTGATCTAGCCCTACATGCCCTAGTACTTCTGAAAGAGTGGAAAAAAAGTTTTTTTAACGTTTACCTCACCCTGTTAAACACTTCAGCCAACAAAACCCAAGAACCATAAAACAGTTCCTGCCCTGAACAGAATGAATGAAATGCTATGATAGAATCACTAGTGTAGAGCTTTGGGAGAGAACTAAACAAATTCTAGTGAGTCATTAGGCGAGAAAAAGATGATGGTGTTAAAAAAAAAACACATATTTTGGCAGTCATATAATAGTATTACTAGAAAATCCTTGCAGTGGAACCATCAACCGAAGGAAGAAAGGCACTTGAGTTCACAAAGGAATGCAGACAACCTACAGGCCGCATGTTTGACATACCCTCACTAGAGCTTCCATTATTAGTTTTGGAAACCCTCAAGACAACTCTACTTCTAAATGGGAACCTTACAGGATTCATTAAACATCACTGCATGCCACCAAACCCAACCGCAAACAAAATGTCAGTGCCTGAACTAAAAGTATCTGTGCAAATAACATATCGAAGGGATGACGTCATGCAACATCTGCAGGACTGACTCAAAACAGCTGTTGGCCAAACACTCATTGCCGCTGTTACAGTAGTGGGGTAGAAGACCACATCTATACCAACCCTGTCTGTTAACACTTTCAGTCCAAAGGAACATGTCATATCTGTTAACACTTTCAGTCCAAAGGAACATGTCATATCTGTTAACACTTTCAGTCCAAAGGAACATGTCATATCTGTTAACACTTTCAGTCCAAAGGAACATGTCATATCTGTTAACATTTTCAGTCCAAAGGAACATGTCATATCTGTTAACACTTTCAGTCCAAAGGAACATGTCATATCTGTTAACACTTTCAGTCCATGGAACATGTCATATCTGTTAACACTTTCAGTCCAAAGGAATATGTCATATCTGTTAACACTTTCAGTCCATGGAACATGTCATATCTGTTAACACTTTCAGTCCAAAGGAACATGTCATATCTGTTTACACTTTCAGTCCAAACGAACATGTCATATCTGTTTACACTTTCAGTCCAAAGGAACATGTCATATCTGTTAAAACTTTTAGTTCAAAGGAACATGTCATATCTGTTAACACTTTCAGTTCAAAGGAACATGTCATATCCGTTAACACTTTCAGTCCAAAGGAACATGTCATACATTCATAGGTTCCCACATAGAAGCCCAAAAAACGTTTGATGTGTCTTACATTACCACCCCTTGGTTCTGTGATGCTAAATGCCCTAGAAATTAGAGTTAGAGTTAGAGTTAAAGAGCTATTATCTCCATATTCAAAATCCAACTGTACTTATGAATTTACATGTAAGTGCCAGTTGACTTATATTGGTCGACTGGAGCGACAACTTAAAAACAAAACTGTCAGGTAAAAACAAAAACGTAACATTTTCACACAAGTGGTGCATCAGGATTCATAGCTAGATCTACTTTCTGAATGGACCAATGTGCACTCAATAGGTTATATGGTTGACATCACGCTGGCCATCTTTACTTCCCACAACTTCTTCCTCCTATTCTTTACATTCACTAGTTGTAAACTTCAAAGATAATGAGGGGGGAGGGAGTGGGTCTATTTTTGGTTATCCACAATGTGGGCCCCAGAACACACAGAGAAACATCCCAGAAAAATACCTGGTACACATTTTGGGCTGGCTAGACCTAGAAGCCGAGATCAATTTTGAAAAAAAAAAAAAAAAAATCTGTTTTGATAGGGATTTGAACTTTAGACTGTCAGGCCAGCAAGTGAGAATCCAGCCACTACACTACAGTGATTCATAAACTTTCTGGTACCAAGAGAAAAAAACAGATAGGGAGCAAATGAAGCCGTAGAAACAATATATATTAATATATATATATGCTTGCTACATACATCCAGTTTTAACATATGGATGTGAATCCTGGACAATCGGTAGGCAGGCCAAACAATTTTTAGAGGCCTCAGAGATGTGGTTTTAAAGAAGAATGCTTAGAATACCTTGGACAGCCAAAAAGAGCAACCAAGAGGTTTTGAAAGAGGCGGGAGCCCGAAGACAACTTATCACTGACATCAGAAGGAGACAGTCATCATTTTTCGGCCATATTATGAGAAGAGGGAAAATAGAACATGTTGTGACCACTGGAAAGATCTGTGGAAGGAGGGATAGAGGAAGACAACGAGAGAAGATGCTTGACAGTCTTATTGCATGGCATGGAGGTGTGTCAGCACACGAACTGATACATGCTGCAGGAGATCGCGGATTATGGAGAGGCATGATCGCCCACGCCAGTCGGCAAGGCACCTGATGATGATGATGATATAGTGCCGCTCAGTACATTTGTATGTTTATTATATATATATATATATATATATATATATATATATATATATATATATATATATATATATATATATATATATATATATATATATATATATATATATATAATGTTGTTAAGAGAATTAATCTTGGTTGCAGAAAAAGAATGCATCCTAAATGTTGTCAGAATCCGTAGAAATAGACAACAAAACAAAAACAACAATCCTGGAGTCCCCATGGGAGTAAGGGCCACTACCAGTGACCACTCAAACTTCCAAGGTCTGGTCCTCCTCGTGCGCTCATCAGTGACGAGCCAGAGTTTGGAGAGGGAAAGAGTTCACACGACCTGTTCCCCACGGCAGAGAAACCAGCCCCGCCGCCTGAGTTGTTCCTGTGGATGTTTCCTTGACCGACTTCTGAATTTGTTTGTTCTACAGACGAGGTTCTTGAGCATGAGGACTGTGTCAGTGTGCGCCGTTTGTTCAAATCTGGAACAGCAAGAACATTCATTGTATCCATTCACTGAAATAAAATTTCTAAATCTTTTCAAACTTGATCACTAACAAATTATGTTCATTTAATTTAGAGAGAAGAGAAGAAATGCAATCTAGAATACATACAATCTAGAATACATACAATCTAGAATACATACAATATAGAATACATACAATCTAGAATACATACAATCTAGAAAACAATCTAGAATACATACCATCTAGAATACATACAATCTAGAATACATACAATCTAGAATACAATCTGGAAATAAAATATACTATACCCTACAACTTGGCCCTGATCCTAACGACAGCATCAAACATCTAACAAGAAGGGACAAGGCCACCATCTTCAGACTCAGAAAATAACATACTTCACTCAATGGACATCTAAACAGAATACAGCCACAACACTCCCCGGAGTGCCAGCTATGTAACTACCCCTATGAAACTGTTGACCAGCATCTCCTTGAGTGCCCAAAACTCAGTGAGACAAGAAGAACGCTACTCCCTCCGAGACCAGACAAGTGGAACACCTTGTACAGAGTAAAAGAACAGCTTGTGAAAACTTGTAAATTCCACAACATGGCATTGGGCCAAAGAGTGAATGTTCATGCGCCACTGAATCAATAACAACAAAAACAACAACAACAAGCCCTTCAACATCTGCTAAAATCAAAGAATGTGTCTCGTAACACTGGGATCAAAATATATAATTTGCTAATCAGGCCAGTTGTTTTAAATAGCTCTGAAACTCGGAGCACAAGTAAAAGAAATGAAGCCACATCACACAGCTTTTTAAACATCCTTAAGGTAAATCTGTGCACTCAGCAAAGATACAAACAGCAGGGACAAGAAGCAACAAGGAAATTCATAATCTGTTTAAATCACAACTGATCATTGGCAACACATCACTAGCAACACACCACTAGCAACAAACAACACACCACTAGCAACAAACATCACACCACCAACAACAAACAACACACCACTAGCAACAAACAACACACCACTAGCAACAAACAACACACCACTAGCAACAAACAAACACACCACTAGCAACAAACAACACACCACTAGCAACTAACAACACACCACTAACAACAAACAACACACCACTAGCAACTAACAAACACACCACTAGCAACAAACAACACACCACTAGCAACAAACAACACACCACTAGCAACTAACAACACACCACCAACAACAAACAACACACCACCAACAACAAACAACACACCACTAGCAACTAACAACACACCACCAACAACAAACAACACACCACCAACAACAAACAACACACCACTAGCAACAAACAACACACCACTAGCAACTAACAACACACCACCAACAACAAACAACACACCACTAGCAACTAACAAACACACCACTAGCAACAAATAACACACCACTAGCAACTAACAACACACCACCAACAACAAACAACACACCACTAACAACAAATAACACACCACTAGCAACGAATAACACACCACTAGCAACGAATAACCCATCACTAACAGCAAACAACACACCACAAACAAAAAAGCCACGAGCAACAAACAACACACCACTAGCAACAAACAACACACCACTAGCAACAAACAACATACCACTAACAACAAACAACACACTACTAACAACAAACAACACACCACTAGCAACTAACAAACACACCACTAGCAACTAACAAACACACCACTAGCAAGACATCACTAACAACAAACAACACACCACTAGCAACAAACAACATACTACTAACAACAAACAACATACCACTAGCAACAAACAACATACCACTAGCAACAAACAACATACCACTAACAACAAACAACACACCACTAACAACACATCACTAACAACAAACAACACACCACTAGCAACAAACAACACACCACTAACAACAAACAACACACCACTAACAACAAACAACACACCACTAGCAACAAACAACACACCACTAGCAACAAACATCATGCCACTAGCAACAAACATCACACCACTAGCAACAAACATCACGCCACTAGCAACAAACAACACACCACTAACAACAAACAACACACCACTAGCAACAAACAATGCACCACTAGCAACAAAAATCACACCACTAGCAACAAACATCATGCCACTAGCAACAAACAACACACCACTAACAACAAGCAACACACCACTAGCAACAAACAATGCACCACTAGCAACAAACATCACACCACTAGCAACAAACATCACACCACTAGCAACAAACATCACGCCAGTAGCAACAAACATCACGCCACAGCAAACAAGACACCACAAACAACACTCCACTAGCAACAAACAACACACCTCTAGCAACAAACAATGCACCACTAGCAACAAACAACACACCACTAACAACAAACAACACACCACTAGCAACAAACAATGCACCACTAGCAACAAACATCACACCACTAGCAACAAACAACACACCACTAGCAACAAACATCATGCCACTAGCAACAAACATCACACCACTAGCAACAAACATCACGCCACTAGCAACAAACAACACACCACTAACAACAAACAACACACCACTAGCAACAAACAATGCACCACTAGCAACAAAAATCACACCACTAGCAACAAACATCATGCCACTAGCAACAAACAACACACCACTAACAACAAGCAACACACCACTAGCAACAAACAATGTACCACTAGCAACAAACATCACACCACTAGCAACAAACATCACACCACTAGCAACAAACATCACACCACTAGCAACAAACATCACACCACTAGCAACAAACATCACACCACTAGCAAAAAACAGCACACCACTAGCAACAAATATCACACCACCAACAACACACCATGAACAACAAAGTACACAGGACTAACAACAAACGATACACCAAAACAACAAACAACACCATTAACAACAAATATCACACAACCAACAACAAACCACCAACGACAAACAACACACCATCAACAACAAACAACATACACTACCAACAGATAATAAATGTCACATCTGAGAGACACAGACATCCTACCAGCAATTGCCAAAAGCATCTTGCGCCGGGCCCCAAACGTGGAAATTCCAAGTTCTCTCAGGTCATGGTCAGACAGGGTCAGGAACGTAGATAGGTCAATCTGAAATACCATAGTTTTGGACAGTTTAGTCACTGAACTTTGGATTTTATATATATATATATATATATATATGCCGGCTCTCTAGCATTGTTGGCTAAACAGGGCTGTGCGGTGACCGGGTGACAAAATCCTTGTGGTCCGGGTTCACTCCTAGGGGTAGGCAGAAAAGCCACATTTTCTCCCAGATTTACGGTACCTATCATGGAATCAAGGCCGAAGGATTGCGATATCCATAGTACAGAGCCAAAGGGTTAACAACTCATGGTTTCTGAATATTTATTTTTTAAAAATTTATATATATATATATATATATGCATTTAATTGCACAGTTTTGTCTGGGACAGTTAAAGAAAACAAGAAAACAGTATTAGCCCCTCTTCTAAGTCACCTTTGTCTCCATCATAATCCTATGTTTAGACATTGTCCCTTACTGCACCTGAGGCTCCTGCTGCCCTCTGGCCATTCCACCAGCCCTCAAATCTGACCCACAAAGGTAACCCCCTCCCCCTTTCTTACCTGGATCATTCCTTCCGCACCCTCTACCTCAGCACCCTAAAGGTGTAGTAGCATTCCCTATGGGGAGACTGAACTTCGCAAATTTAAACCGTATGGTGGTCACCAATTGAGAGGAGTTACGAGTTTACTGAAAATGTATAAACAAACATACAGACCGGTATTATGTGTTTTACAGTGTGCGTGTGTGTATGCATATATATTTATATACAAAAGAAAAAGACAACCTGAAAGAAAATGTAGAAGGCAAGAGAGGACGAGGTAAGCAGCAGTATAACTGGGGTAGGGTTACAGTTGAGAAGATCGACTTCACTGCATCCGGTTTGATCCCATTTGGCTTTGTCTCTCTCCATCTCTCCACAAGCATGCTCCGTGCAGAGTGGCAAGCATCGCTTCAGAGGCCTCAGGTAGTTAGCATCCTTTGGATATTTTCTGCGGGTTACGCCAGTGTGTTGGAAAATTAACAAGTAGATAGACTGGCTGGTTTTGCACCACTTGGTCATAAATGGATGTGTGACAAGCTAGATGTTGTGAGGGCCCTTTGAGAGTGAGTGAACAGTGTGGAGGCACAAACAGATATCATTATGGTCTGAGCAGAATGGCACTACAAGGAGTTACCAGGGCATCTGGCTGACTTTCAATACTCAAGGGAAAGGTGAGACAGATGTACAATCAGACAGTTACTGGTGCTATTATAACTGGAACTCTTCGCTTGCTGCTGAAGATGGGGATAGAGTGCTTATAGGAGTGTCCCAAATGCTGTGATGTTGATTCTTAATTCAACATTGAACATCTCTCCCCAGAACAGCTAGCCACCTGTCGAGAGCGTTGTACATAGTGCAAAGACACTTTGCTCCTGTGACGATCCCCAGGAGTCACCCTAACAATTTAACTCATGACCTGAATGACATGGTCCATGAAATGAACCTTTGACCTTAACAGCATAAGGCAAATGGCTTGACCACTTCGCCACAGAGACTGCAAGTTGGAAGTCAAAATCCCAAGAATGTACAATCAAGATAATATTATTTTCAAAGGGTCACAAATTTGGCACACGCAGGTCTGTCCTACATTTAGCCCTTCCAAAACACTCACCTTTCATACTGCAATCATTTTACAATGGTGAAAATATGGGGGTGACTGTCTCGCTTTGTAAATCGCCTCATCTACAGCCTAGGCGTTCTTAGTCCAGGTAGTATCAATATCCAGCATACCTTCATCTAAATAGTTCTACTCTTATCACATTTTAAATGTTAATATAACAGATTGGTAGATTATAAAAGACAGAATATCTAATAACTGACTGACTGATGAATTAGAAAAGGTAGACTATCTAATAACTGATTGATTGATGGATTAGAATACACAGAATATCTAAAAGCTGACTGACCGATACATGGGAACTGACAGAATATCTAATAACTGATTGACTGATGGATTAGAATAAGCAGAATATTTAATTATTTCCATCCCTAGCTGCTTTGTTAAACTGATGTGCACCCAAAACTTCTGTTGTGGAACAAGTTTTGAAGTGGATAAACCTCTGGTGGAAAGCGTTCCTGTATCAGTGTCTCCAGAGAGAGATACTCCACCGGTGAAGCAACAACCTTCTTCTTCTGCCTTTCTAGCTCCCCCACAAGTGGAGCATAGGCACTCAGCCAACTCAGGTCAAGTCACTCTTTCTGTCGCTATCACACTGCAGCTCTCCCCATGTCCTCCCCACCTATGACCCCACAGTATTTAACTTCTGTGTTTTCCCTTAAAGGGGCTGTTAGCACATTGTGTTGTGGGTTTCAGCTAGGCTGTGATATCTGCACCTTTTGGTCCAATACATCCGATTTCAACAAATTTCTAGTTAGTCACCTTTTATGACACGCTTGTTCAGTACGTATGTTGCCCCCTCTCCCTCCCTTTTACAAAAAAACACACACACACACAAAAAGGTCCTAGAACCCACACCTGGCCTCTGGGTAGTAAGAAAGGACGCCCGTGTGTATTGTTGCACACGTTAAAAAAAAACACCTTGGAATTTGAAAATCAAACAAGAGTAGCCTAACGGCGCTGCCCGGGCTAAATTTTGAGTTAAAAATCTACCCAAAGTATTTCAGGATTCTTGCCGGTGCAACAGAGTTCGTGCACTGTGCTGAGATTCTTCAGACTCAGGCTTGAGTTGGAAGTGAAACCAAGCACTTATGTGTTACACCCATGTGCCATGATGTTTATCCGTTGAATAAACATAAACATAAACAAACATGAAGATTCAAACCTCCTGCTGCTGGAACAGATCTGTGTACTTGCCCAGGCCAAGGGCACTGAACAACTCGGCCAGGTCTGTCTTGGTGGTCCACATACATTTACTGGGCATGCTGGCGCTGTCTGCGTGGTTGCTGTGGCTCAGATACTGGACTGTTGGGTCAAGACAGTAGTGACATACAGGATGTGAGCTTACGTCACTTACCGAATGTAAGTATGTGTCACATGCAGGATGTGTGTGTGTGTGTCACATACAGGATGTAAGTATATGTCCTGTACAGAATGTAAGTATGTGTCACATGCAGGATGTGTGTGTGTGTGCGTGTGTGTCACATACAGGATGTAAGTATGTGTCACATACAGGATGTGTGTGTGTAAATAAATGCTGTGATGCTGTTGACAGATTGTGTAAGAAAACTGCACACTGGGAAATTGTTTTTTTAAGCACCACAAAAGCTGGTTCACACCAGAAATTAACCACACAATGGAATATCTGGAAGACAAGAAAGCTGCCCATTTTATCTATAATCATCAATTCTTATAGAGATAATTCTACAGCATTCTGTCCAATTTTGTGCTGCATTTATAACTGTATAGTGCTATACAAGCTTGATGAAATATGCAGTATTACACTATCATCATGAAGGACAGAAGATGGAAGACCATTCATCAGAAGTGGACGCTATGTAAATGACCATGCTACGAGACCATTTCCCCACTTCTGACAATACGAAGAGAGAGGGGAGAGTTGGGAATATATTTTATTCTGCGGACAATTAGAAACTATACATATGATTGTTTCCATCCCTAGCTGCTGAAAAGCCAAGGACAGATTTCTGGTTCCTTGTGGCAGGATGAGCTCCCAAGCCACTGCCAGGCTGGTCGTAGGTGATGAGGGAAGTGCCCTGATGAAGGTCTTGGTCATTGGGACAGATCCAACGTTCTACCTCATTCTCTGAAACGGATGATCCTCTGGGAAACCTCAGATGGTAATTGTTGTGTGTTATTTCCCTCTCACGGTGACAGTTTCATGTGACTATCATTTTTATCTTTCATGAAATCTATTTAGTTTGCGTATTGTATTTCAAAAGTAATTAGATGATGTATTGACTTTAATTTGTAAAAACATTTCTTTGATTGATTTTCATTTTTAGTTAAAGTTTAATGTATTTCTAGACGTATCTATAGGGTCAGGTTAGTGTTGTCTATAAATATACATATTCTAGATGGGGGCTTAATTTTATTTCCAGAAAGGGAAATTTGTTCAGAGGGGGTAATCTGCTCTGTCTACGTGTTCTCTATGCATCTAAATTCCCTTTTCCCTTTTCTGGGGATATTCAGGTGGCTCACTTTCTTTCATGAGCCAATTGGAGTCTGTATCTGAGTATCCAAGACACTGTCTGCTCTTGGCACCACAAGACAGTTGTCTTGGTGTCTCATTGCACCAGAAAGGAGGATTTAAACCAACACCCTACCATAGTGAGTAAAACCTGTTTCACGACAAACCCACACAGGAGAAAAGTAAACGCTGAATGAGGAGCAATTCAGCACAACTATTCATCGACCTAGCCTATACTCTGGAGCACACATAGGGTAACAAAAGCACAAAGAGCTCACAAAATATCATCATCATCAAATGACTTGCCAGCTGGCATAGGCATTCGTGCATCTACACAGATCTCGGTCTTTGGTGTTCTGGTTCAATTCCACTGTTGATATTCCTCCAAGTGACTGTCTTAAGCCATTCATCATCATTTCTCTTGGTCTGCCTCTGCCTCTCCTACCATTGGGAATATGAGGCTAGACTTAAAAAATTTGTATAGACCAAACAGCACTTGATAGATGATGTAGTCAACATCATGCCGGCCGCCTTTACTTCCCCAGACTTTACCTGGCACCCATTTAAGACTAGGTAATTTATTTGAAAAAAAAATAAAGGTCTAGCTTGTTTTTGATTTGGGCCCACAACTTTCGAATGCGCAGACAGCCCTTGTTCCCACTGTCAGTCCCTCTTTCTGACTTCTGTCGTCCGTTCCACAAATCTTTGTCAATGGTTTTTGTTGTGTTTTTAAGCACACAGAAAGTAACAAAAGCACAAAGAATTTGCTAAATATACAGGCACACACATTTTTTGCGAGGACTTGGGTACTCTCCTGGAGCCTTGTTCAAAGGTCTGGTGGTCAGTCCTCTTTCTGGACTTCTGTCATCGTTCCACAAATCTTTGTCAATGTTTAAGTCAATCTCCGGACGGTTGGCCTGAAGATATCAAGAGAAACATTTCACTGATGACTAAACATTTAAAATTCCTAAATATTTAACTGACTGACTAAATGTTTAGATTTAGTGCTGGTTCGGCACAATGGGTGGCGAACTGATGAATGACAAGCTATTTGTGGGGAAGAGCCATTTGGGAGTAAGTGACAATAGAAGAAGGTTTGTTGCGTATCCTTTACAACATGTTACAGAACGAACCCCAGCATTTTTTGGCTGTTGTGGTTTGTCTAGGCAAATTTTACAATCACTAGTTTGCCATTGCTTCTGAATGGTCAGTTCTCGGTGCCAGTGTCGAGGCCAGCGCAAGACACAGTCCCTGGCATTACGAAGCACAGACACCGAAGAACAATGTAAACAAATTTTTTAAAAATAATTCTGTGCAGTTTCAGCAATGAAGGTCGGCGACAGTGTACCCCTGCTGTCTTTGCGAATATTAATTGGTAAGGGCCCAAACTCTTCCACCACGCAACTCTGGTACCATTGTCTGAAAACCACCAGAACGGTTCTATAAAGTGAACAATGCAAAAGTGCAAATAGATCATTATGGTCTGGAGAGAATGGTTCAACCCATGGGGGGGGGGGGGGGGGGGGGGGGGGGGGGTGTGGGAGGGGGAACTAGGGATTTGGCCAACACGCTACACTCACAGGAAAGGAAAATAGATATAAAATCAGACTGTACTGGTACCACTGAACTGGATCTCTTTGTTGGCTGCTGAAGTTGAGGATGAAGCACTTATGGGACGGTCCCAGGTGTTGTGATGTTAGTTCAACCCAACTAAATGTTTAGAATGCATTTAAATGACTGATAAAACATCTAAAAATCACAAATATTTCATCGAACTAATTCACTAGAATAAATACACTTTTAATTAGATAATTCATAATTAGAATTCACAAACATTTATATGACACATACTAAATCAAATATTTCTTCTTCTTCTTCGTGTTCACCAGCTGTAAACTCTGGTAGAAAGTTCTGGTTGTTCAACTACCTCTAGACTTTGGACTTGTTCCAGAACCTGAGTGTTGTGTGCACATCCATTTTACAGATCTGACTTATTTGTATGCAGACTGTTGGTTCCTTGCCTCTTAGGCACATGCCCTCTGACTTTGAAGGAAGCTCCCAGTTAGTCGACTCTTACGACACTCTTGTTGGGGAGGCAGTGGGTCTATTTTTGTGCTTCCTCCAATGGGTCCCCGAAACCCGAGGTAATAAAACATTTAATTGTATTCACTGCCAAAATGCCATTCTGTCCCAGGGCTTGAGTTTTGTGTGTACATTTATTTTACAGATCTGGATTTTTTACTTGCAGACTATTGGTTTCTCTGACTGTGAAGAATATGTCGAGCCTATCTACATTAGTCAGGTTCCCAGGTGGGAAGTGTTTCTAGGATGTCTGCAGAGAGGTGTAGGCAGGAGCTGATCAGCAGGGTCCTGGTGTACCACCAAGTGGTTCTGTTACTTTGTATCCCATCTGCTTCTGATGCAGGTCAGATCATGTTTGGTTTTTTAACATTTACCCCCGCAGCAATGATCCATCTTTTCATATTCCAAGTTTAAGGATGGGTTATGGAAACTATTTTCCTAAGAATGATCTATCTTTTCATATTCCAAGTTTAAAGATGGGTTATGGAAACTATTTTCCTAAGAATGATCCATCTTTTCATATTCCAAGTTTAAGGATGGGTTATGGAAACTATTTTCCTAAGAATGATCCATCTTTTCATATTCCAAGTTTAAGGATGGGTTATGGAAACTATTTTCCTAAGAATGATCTATCTTTTCATATTCCAAGTTTAAGGATGGGTTATGGAAACTATTTTCCTATCTTTTTTTTCCAAGTTTAAGGATGGGTTATGGAAACTATTTTCCTAAGAATGATCCATCTTTTCATATTCCAAGTTTAAGGATGGGTTATGGAAACTATTTTCCCAAGAATGATCCATCTTTTCATTACCTCATTTCCCAAGTTTAACTCTTTGAGTCCCAGAGGGTTTAGCATCACAGGCCCAAGAGGTAGTCAAGAGAGACGTAAAATCGGTGCTTTATGCGTTCATTGGGCTTCTAGGCAGTAACATATGAACGTATGATGCGTCCCTTGGGACTCAAAGAGTTAAGGATGGATTTTTCCCGCAGGTTCCAGTTATAATGCTGCCAACAGACACCAACACTATGACCAGAAGCAATAACAATGAAACAAGAAATAAAGAGACTAAACTATTTTCTCAGGAATGATCCATCTTTTCATATTCCAGGTTTAGGATGGGTTTTCCCCACAGATTCCAGGTATAATACTGCCAACAGACACCAACACTATGACCAGAGGCAATGACAACAAAATATGAAGAAAGAGAGACAAACTATTTTCTCAGGAATGATCTTTTTTTTTTTTATTACCTCATATCCCATGTTTAAGGATGGGTCTGTGACCCGTGCACTGATGCCCATTTGTCCCAGCTTGTCCCGAATGGCAGACTCTGGCATTGACTTTGAGAAACCCATTCCTGCCCAAATGTCAGTTGGGATTCGAGATTCCCCTTCTGGCTTTTTCTGCATGGCTGAAGATGAGAAATATTCATTGGCATTAATTCTTCAATAACTAGAATGTCTTTGCATAGGAACCCCAGGGGGCACAGAAATAAAGACAGATCACACCTCCCCCCCCACCCCCCCCCCCCAAAAAAAAAAAACGTAGAAGGGTTAGTTGCTTAGTTCTTTGGAAAAAAAAACAGCTGATCATGTTCAACCTTTCTGAACAGTTTCGATTATAATTATTGTCTGAGTTTTGTGTGTGCACCTTATTTAATAACTAAAATGGTTTGTTATGTCAATGGTTGTGGCTTGATGTCTGTGACCATGAGGACGGAAACTAGACAGTGAAGTTGTTCAAGCACATAGAGTGAGCTGTAAGCAATAGCAAAGGATAGAACAACTTGAAGTTTAGCCCCCTTTTCCCTGTTTATTTATGGTTTACAGCTAGGCTGTGATATCTGCACCTTCCTGCCAAACACATCAGATTTTAGCCAGTCCTTTATTAGTCGCCTCTTATGACATGCTTGTTAAGAAACAGTGGGCCTATTACTTTTTTCCCACCATGTGGCCCCAGAACCTTTATAGAAACTTTCAATATCCAATGCTGAATGTTGAATGCTGAATGTTGAATACTGAATGCTGAATGTTGAATGCTGAATGTTGAATGCTGAATGCTGAATGCTGAATGCTGAATGCTGAATGTTGAATACTGAATGCTGAATGTTGAATGCTGAATGTTGAATGCTGAATGGTGAATACTGAATGATGAAAGTTGAATGTTAAATGTTGAATTAAGAATTAAGAATTGACATCACAGCACTGGGTGCACTCCCATAAGTGCTCCTTGCCCATCTTTAGCAGCAAGCGAAGAGTTCCTATTCCGCTGGTACCAGTAACTGTCTGATTGTATATCCACCTTGCCTTTACCCTGAGTGTTGAGCGTCGGCCAGATCCCCTGCTAACACCTCACAGCACCATTCTCCTCAGACCGTAATGATCTATTTGTGCGTCCGCACTGTTCACACACTACCAAAAAGCCCTCAAGTGGTGCACAACCCAGTCTATCTGCTTGCTCATTTCCCAACATACCGGCATACCCTGGAGAAAAATATCCAAAGGATGCTAAATAGCTGGGACCTATGAAGCGTTGCTTGCCACTCTCCACCAAGCATGACTGTTCTCACCTTTCTCAACATGCTCTGCGAGCCAGTTACAATCACAGCATGTGTGTACAGCTGATTCTCACGCCAGCAGAAGACAGCAGAGACTGCCTCCACCTCCATTCTCAAACTAGACATTGTGATATATCATATGCAAGGTTTTGCTGCACTAAGCGACATCACTTTTGCTATAAACCCCCGTGCACTTCATCTGCCTCTCAATACAGAGCCATCTGTATAGATAATCACACCATGACATGAATCATTTGTTGAATATCTGATTTAATATTGTAGATCAGCAAACAAACTATTTTAATTTGTTACTTTCAGCATATTAATTAAATTGGAATCCCTTCAATGCATATTTTAAACCAACAAATAAAGCTAAATATAACAAAGAGACAGACAAGGGGTACCTTTCATGGCCAACAACTTTTTCTGTTCATAATCGAAGGCAAACTGGAAAGGGGAGGACAGGAGAGAGGATGCTGTCATGTTTTTTCTTTCAATTCCTGGGGCTAGCTTCTCTGATGGGTCCTCATCTCTCACTGGGGACTCTCGTAGCTTGTCTCCATTCCTATTATTAAAAAAAAGGGGAAGAGTGCTGGGGACTCTCATAGCTTGTGTCTTTTCCTATATGACATTATAAAAAAAGGGGGAAGAGTGATGGGGAGTCTCGTAGCTTGTCTCTATTCCTATATGACATTATAAAAAAAGGGGGAAGAGTGCTGGGGACTCTCATAGCTTGTCTCTTTTCCTATATGACATTATAAAAAAAGGGGAAGAGTGATGGGGACTCTCATAGCTTGTCTCTTTTCCTATATGACATTATAAAAAAAGGGGAAGAGTGCTGGGGACTCTCATAGCTTGAGTGACATTATGGGGAGTCTCGTAGCTTGTCTCTATTCCTATATGACATTATAAAAAAAGGGGAAGAGTGCTGGGGCCTCTCATAGCTTGTCTCTTTTCCTATATGACATTATAAAAAAAGGGGAAGAGTGATGGGGAGTCTCGTAGCTTGTCTCTATTCCTATATGACATTACACACAAAAAAGGGGGAGAGTACTTATAATGCAGAAGATAAGTAAGTGGTCTTTTTCTTAGTGTTCCCCAGCTGTAAACTCTGGCAGAAAGTTATGGTTGTTTGTCCACTTCTGGACTCTGGTTCTGATCCAAAACTGAGGTTTTGTGAACTTGTCTGTTTTACAGATCTGGCTTATTTGTATGCAGACTGTTGGTTCTTGACCTCTCAGGGAGATGAACCCTGACTGCGAAGGAAACACCCCAAATTATTAGCCTCCTATGACATACTTGTTCATTCAGTGATTCAGTGCTCTGTAGAGTAGGACAATGAACAAGCAACTAGAAAATCTAATTATCTCTGGAAATGTGGATACACAGAAGAATAGGTTGTATTTCATAGAAACAAAGGCAATCAAATATAGAGGTTCTGGAAAGACTCAAAATGTAAAGAGAATTACTGAAACAAATAAAAACAGAGATAACTGAAATACTTCGGCCACATTAGAAGACATAGCACACTTTTAAAAACTAGGAAAAGTCGAGGGCAAGAAAGAAAGAGTTGGACAACATTACAATTGGAAGGACAACATCAAGAGATGGACGAACAGCAGTCTGAGAGAGTGTACAACTAAGACAAGAGATACAGCATGTTGGAGATCCAGTGGTGGAAATTCAGTGGGTGGAGGTATTCACACAACATACGCTGTTCTGGACTGAAAGAGTTAAGTACCAGCGTGTCTATCACCACCCACCCCCTTTCCCCTAACATGGAGTCCTAAAACCCACTCGGGGAGAGGGAGAGATAAGGTGCTAAAAATATATTATAGCTGACACTTGGTTCGGAAGGCAGCATAAATTAATTAATTTAAACAAGCAAATCTTACAGGTGTCAATGAGAATGGCTGATACTCTTAATTAGATGGAACTTACCACAAATGGCGCTCAGAAATGGCTGATACTATTAATTAGATGGAACTTACCACAAATGCCACTCAGAAATGGCTGATACTATTAATTAGATGGAACTTACCACAAATGCCCCTCAGAAATGGCTGATACTATTAATTAGATGGAACTTACCACAAATGCCACTCAGAAATGGCTGATACTATTAATTAGATGGAACTTACCACAAATGCCACTCAGAAATGGCTGATACTATTAATTAGATGGAACTTACCACAAATGCCACTCAGAAATGGCTGATACTATTAATTAGATGGAACTTACCACAAATGCCACTCAGAAATGGCTGATACTATTAATTAGATGGAACTTACCACAAATGCCGCTCAGAAATGGCTGATTCTTTTTAATATGTAAAATATTCAACAAATGTCTATAAGAATGGATGATTCCATTAATTAGATGGAAGTTACAACAGACGAGTCTGAGAGGTCTATGAACCCTTTTGCTCTGATAATCCACAAAACCAACACTTCCAGTTGGGTCTAATTCCCCATAAATGTCACTATTCTGACTTGTCTAGAGTAACCCATTTATGAGACGCATTGTTAATGCTATTGCACGATTTTGCTCTTTAAATTTTTAAAAGATGACGTCAAATTTTTCCCCCTATTATAACACAACTCTTGACCCGTTAGGGTCGTGGAGGTGTACGATGGAAGCATTGCAAAAAAAACCCGCCGTTTTTCGCTAGATGAATAAGTTTGTGATAATTCTGTCCTGTACACTTCTTGATGTTGTCATTCCAGGTTCTTCTTTGCCTCCTCTTCTTCGACTACCCACCAATGTTCCTTGAAGCAGTCTTTGCAATCGAATCATGTCTCACCACGTGTCAGAACCCTAACCTGCGACACTTCAGCACTGCCAAGAGAGTCTCCTGATGTCCCACAAATTTGTATATTTTGTCTCTGACTTGTTCATTAGTTTTGTGTTCTAAATAACTAATTCGTAAAATGCGTCTGTAACATTTACATTTGAAAGCCTAAATCCTCCTTTCCATTTCCACAGTGAGAGGCCAACTCTCAGATTTGTATAGAAAAATAGACAATACCAGTGATTTGTAAATACTGATCATGACTGAGATGCTCATTTTCCCCCCTAATATCCACACTAAAACGTTACAACGTGTATAGAGCGAGTGGAAGACCTTGGAAAAGATGGAGTGATGGCATTAAGAACAGCCTTACAGAAATGAACTTAATCTTAATAGTGCTCTTGACAGAGCTCATCAACGAACATTACATCTTCCCCCGACACTTCGATGAGGTACAAGGTGGAAGAGAAGAAGAAGAAGAAGAAGAATACCCACTAAAAGAAGTCATGGGGTCACAGCATGAGTGTTCTGAAACATGTTTTCTCTTCTTCCCCAGGGAGTGTATTCCATTCAATGCTTCACCCTGTTGCTGTTTATTGATTACTGCCTTAAAATGTCTGTATATGTTTGGGAAAACAAACATTCAAAAATGTAGATAGATAAATTTTTAATGAATTTATTAGCGATATGTGTAAAAATCTTTTTTTTTTCAACTTTTTATTTTGAAATTCCAACCAGGTCACGACCCATTTTTTTTTTAGCATCACTGGGGTGAAAGGGTTAATTAAACGGAACTTAATGGAACTCTAGGAAAAATGGATGATTCCATTAAATGTGTGAAACTTACAACAAATGCCTTTAAGAATGATTGATTCCATTAAATTTGTGAAACTTACATCAAGTGCCCATGAGAATGGTTGATTCCATTAAACATGGGTGTGGGTGAAGAGCACTGAGCTAAACTGCTCAGCTGCGTCAATGAAGATGTTTTGTTTAATCCAAGGACATCCAGGGAATGCTGGGAGTGGTGGTGGTGATGAAGCGGGTGCTGATGCTGTGGCACATGATGATTCTGGTGCATGTGTTGATGGTGGTGGTGGTGGTGGAGGTGGTGGATCTGCCCCGTCAACAAGTTGGCGGCAACTTCGTGGGACGAGTACTCTCCAAGAGTACCTGACTTCTGCAAACTGGCCAGGTCAGCTGCGGGAAGAAGAAAAACATGAGAGAGTTAGGTATCTCTGACTGATATTTCCCATGGAGTTAGGTATCTCTGTCTGATATTTCCCATGGAGTTAGGTATCTCTGTCTGATATTTCCCATGGAGTTAGGTATCTCTGACTGATATTTCTCATTTCATTCGATAACAACATTCATTACTGTAATGTCAGTGACAGTCAAGATAGGGCAACAGATCCCTGTGTAGGTTTCCTGACTTCCTTTTGATGGTTGGAAAAAGGGAAAGAGGAGGTGGGACGTTGATGGTGGGAGACCAGACTAGCTGCTTCTCAAAAAGCGTGTCGGAAAAGTATGTTCTGACAAAATGTCTACAGTAAAAAGGCACATTAAGCTGCAGGGGATAGGATGGGAGTGGACATTCAGTGGATAGAGGGATCACGTATCGTACGTTGTTTGGGACTAATTAAGGACTAGCTGAAAATGAAGGTGCTGGGACAAAAGGTGCAGATATCACTACCCAGCTGTAAACCACATAAAGTGTCAACTACTCATTGAAGGTTGAATGCAGAAGAATATTAGCACCAGCTAGATGCCTGCATATCTACATTACTGCCCGGCTTGCTAGCTTAGTCGGTTAAACCTGACTTCGCGGCGACCAGGTGACGAACTCCGTGTGGTCCGAGTTCATGCCCGGGGGTAGGCAGACAAGCCACATTTCCCCTAGATTTATGGTATCTTTCATGGAACCAAGGCCGAAAGGTTGTGATATCCATAGTACTGAGCCAAAGGGTTTACAACTCATGGTTTCTGGATATTAAAAAAAAAAAAATCTACATTATTAATTTTAACACTATTACAACATTTGATTTACATTAGAACTACAGTTAAACTATACTGAAATGAGATTACAAATATAATAAAACTACATTTTCAATATATAAAAATTCATGACAATTATACTGATATGGTATTTTTTTTAAATAGCTAAAATAAAACTACATTAGAGTTAGAATAACATTATATTAGACCTAGAATAATATTACTTTGGAACTTTCCTTAAACTTCAAGAAAACTGAATCAGAACTATGTTAAAATTATAATGGAACTACTAAAACTTCATAAACACTGAACAAAAACTATGCTAAACTTAAAATGGAACCATTAAAACTTCATGAAAATGGAATCAGAACTATGTTAAAATTACAATGGAACTATTAAAAGTTAATGAAAACTGAATCAGAACTATGTTTAAATTACAATGAAACGACTAAAACTTCAAACAAAAATGAATAAGAACTGTTAAAATTGCAATGAAATCCTAATTTTTTTTTAAACCGAACCCGACCTTTGTTAAAACTACAATTGAACCACTAAAACTTGATGAAAACTGAATGAGAACAATGTTAAAATTACAGTGGAACCACTAACATTTCATGAAAACCGAACCCGACCTATGTTAAAATTACAACTGAACCACTAAAACTTCATGGAAACTGAATCAGAAGCATGTTAAAATTACAATGGAACCACTAAAACTTCATGAACACTGAATAAGGACTATGTTAAAATTACAATGGAACTGCAAAGCTTCATGAAAACTGCATCAGAACTTTGTTAAAATTACAATGGAACTGCTAAAGCTTCATGAAAACTGCATCAGAACTTTGTTAAAATTACAATGGAACCAACTAAAACTTGATAAAAAATAGATTAGAACTACATTACAATAATACTGCAACATCACTAAAATTGCATGACAACTAAATTCCAACCACAGAAAAACTAAAAGCAAGATAAACATTCTTCCGATACCCACCTGCTGTATTGCATAAACCCACAGTGGTAGGACTGTTCGAAGATGAGTGCGTCGGGCTTGTCGAGCTGCTGTTGTTACTGCTATGACCTAGAAATAACAAATGTAAAAAAAAAAAAAAAAAAATTCTTAATAAAATAACTAGCAGATAAGATTTCAATTTAAGGGGTCACTACACAGCATTTTTCCCAATTTATGACAAAAATATCACTTTTTCAATGTGTTCGTTTTTGTAAAGTTCGGCATTCGAAATGATAGTTAACATTAAAGTAAGTAAAAGGTAAAGGAAACTTTTCCAAACCTTTAGGCGTATAGGGCATATAGGGCTAGACCTATATTTTATAGACTAATCGGCACAAGATGGGTGATGTGGTCAACATCAAGCCGGCCGCCTTTACTTCCCAGGACTGCGCCAGGTACCCACTCAAGGCTAGGTCGACCTGGGAGCCAAGGTCATTTTTGAAATAAGTCCGGCTCCGCCAGGGAGCGAACCCACGATCCTTCCGATCCGCGGCGAGCGTCTAGCCGCTCGGCCACGGCGACTCCCATGTATATATATATATATATTTGTGTGTGTGTGTGTGTGTGTGTGTTGGGTGGGGTGGGGGGGTGTGCTTTTGTGTTTTTTCCTTAATATTCATATTATGCATCATCATCATCATCAGTTCTCGTTATGCCTAGTGGCACATGAGGCTTCAGAGAGGACTTTCCATGCTTTCTTGTCCTGTGCAATCTTCAGTGCAGTTTTCCATGTCAAAGATGCCGCACTCAGGTCACTTTCCATCGTTCGTCTCCATGTTGTTTTTGGGCGCCTCTGTTTTCTCTTTCCCTCTGGTGTCCATGTGAGAGCTGTTTTGGCAGGTATATCAGAAGTCATTCTCATAACGTGGCCAAGCCATTTCCATCTTCTCTTGGTAATCAGTCTGTTGTCTCCTTTTTTGGGGATTTTGACTATTGTTCCTTCAGTCCAGTCATCAGGCAACACTTCTTTTTCCCAAATATCCTTGAACAATAGTTCTAGAATGCTAGCAGTTGTGTTGGGATCTACTTTTAGAAGTTCTGCTGGCAGATTTCGTCTTTGCCTAGTGCTTTGTTGTTCTTTAAAGTGTGGATAGCTTTAAGGATTTCTTGTTTGCTTGGTTGTTCAGTAATAATGTCAATGTCCTGAGAGGCTGGTTGAATATCTGGGGGATTTTCAGGATCAGATCTGTTCAAGAGGTCGGAGAAGTGTTTAGTCCACTGCATGTCTTCTTTTTGTTCTGTGGTGAGCAGTCTGCCTTGGTCATCTCTGATGGGTATGCTGTGATAATTGTTTCTGTTTCCGCAAATTTGCTGGGTAATTTTGTGTAGGGTTTGTAGATCATGTGCTTTAGCAGCATTTTCTGCTGTTTCTGCAAGATTTTCCATAAATCTTCTCTTGTCAGCTCTGGCACTTTTCTTTGTCATTTTATTTAGTTCGCTATATTCTAACATTAGTTTGTCTTTCTGACGTTCTGATTTAGTGTGATTTATGAGGCTCTTTATTCTTTTTCGCTTGTTAATATAGTCCATGGTTTGACTACTTATCCATTCTTTGTGGTGTTGTTTCCTGGTTCCTAATATGTCATTGCTAGTTGATTTATATGTTTCTTTGATATGGTTCCATCTGTCTTGAATGCTGATTGTAGTTGGAGTTTCTGGGTCACTTGATAGTGTTTGAAATCTATTCATGAGTTCTACTATAAATTTAGTGGCAATGTCTTTTTCTCTTAAAAGTTTAACATTGTCTGTGTCTTAACTTGCATGTAAACTTTTTTGAGTTTAAATCTTAGTAGAGCGACTACAAGGTGATGATCGCTTCCTACATCTGCTCCCCTTTTGACACACACATCGAATAGGGACCCACGCCATTTTCTGTTTACCATGAAATGGTCGATCTGGTTTACATCTCTTCTGTTTGGGGATATCCATGTAAGCTTGTGTATATTCTTGTGAGGAAATAGTGTTCCTCCTATAACAAGTCTATTCGCCGTGCAGAAGTCGCTTAGTCTTTCCCTGTTGTCATTAATTGTACCACATCCTTGATTTCCCATTGATAATTCTTTATTCAAGTTGTTGTTACCAACTTTCGCATTGAGATCTCCTATAATGCATAGAATATCATGGGCTGGTACTTTATCTACTATCTCTTGCAGTCTCCTAAAGAATGTTTCTTTATCTTTATCTTCAGCTTCATTAGTTGGTGCGTAGCATTGGATGACTATAAGTTTGGCATGTATGCCATTGAATCGTGCTGTCATTATTCTTTCATTGATTGGATGCCACTCGATGAGATGTTTGTGTATACCTTTCTTTAAAATAAGTGCCACGCCTGCAGAATGTAGGTTATCATCTCTTCCAGAGTATATTATGGTTTCTCCTGTACCTGTTGTGGATTATCCAAACCCTGTCCACCTGCTTTCACTAATTCCAAGAATATGCAGTTTATAGTTCTGCATTTCTTTAATTACTTGGGCGGTTTTGGCCGTTTCAAACATGGTTCTTACATTCCAGAAGCCAATTCTTAATTTGGTTTTGACATCCAGCAGACTTGTTTTCCCATCATGGGCTTCCTTTCGGCTTTCACCCATGTTGTTCATGCTGACAGAGGGACTCTGTCCCAAGACCACCGGACGTTTAGAGCACTTATTTCCTCTTGAAGTTTCAGTAACGTTGTAGATTTTTTACAGGGCAGAGCTGTCAACACTGCGCCCAACCCCCGAGCCTCTTTAGTCTGGCCCCTCACCAATGACCTGTCCGGCTTGGGTGACCCTGCCAGGAACATACATTCCCGCCGGCATAGCTCATTAGATCATTGAGGCTCTCAAGCTCCCCCACCACTACAAGGTAATGGCCTCTGGAGGGAGCATAGTATGCATACTGTTATATAAACACAACATGCTGTATTGATGAAATACAATTGCTGTGTGAAAGACCAGTGTTTGGAAGGACCGAAATGTAAGGCGGAGCTGCATGCTTAATGTGTGACCCTTTGAAAATCAAGTTTGTTTTTCTTTGGCGTTCAACTTAAAAGAACAGTTGGCATGCTGGGGTTTATGGCGAGGCTGTATCTTTCAGCCAAACACATCTGATTTCAGAAAACATTTAGTTAGTCGCCTTTTATGACACACTAGTTGAGGAGCAGTGGGACTGTTTTTTCCCCACCAAAATAGGGCTCAGTCACCTCAATGAGTCATCAATCACCTCAACAAGTCCTTAGTCACCTCAATAAGTCCTTAGTCACCTCAATAGGTCCTTAGTCACCTCAATAGGTCCTTAGTCAAGTCTTTAGTCACCTCTACAAGTCCGTAGTCACCTTAACAAGTCCTTAGTCACCTCAACAAGTCTTTAGTCACCCCAACAAGTCCTTAGTCACCTCAACAAGTCCTTAGTCACCTCAATAGGTCCTTAGTCAAGTCCTTAGTCACCTCTACAAGTCCTTAGTCACCTTAACAAGTCCTTAGTCACCTCAACAAGTCTTTAGTCACCCCAACAAGTCCTTAGTCACCTCAACAAGTCCTTAGTCACCTCAATAGGTCCTTAGTCACCTCAATAAGTCCTCAGTCACCTCAATAGGTCTTCAATCACCTCAATAGGTCCTCAATCACCTCAATAGGTCCTTAGTCACCTCAATAAGTCCTCAATCACCTCAGTAGGTCTTCAATCACCTCAGTAGGTCCTTAATCACATGAAAAGATCCTCAATCACCTCAACAAGTCCTCAATCACCTCAGTAGGTCCTCAATCACCTCAGTAGGTCCTCAATCACCTCAGTAGGTCCTTAATCACATGAAAGGATCCTCAATCACCTCAATCAAACCCCATAACAGACTTGTCCATGACTGGATATCTCCGCTAGTTTTCTATGGGATTAGGTAGTCTGTTTCATGGTAAGTCTCCTGATTTGTCTCTTAAGACATGTATGGTAAAATAAAAATAACTCTTGGTATAGAAAGAGATAAAAAATAACAAATGCTTCAAATAGTAAAAGACAGTAACAATTAATTGGGATAGAAAGTGATAAAGTAAAATTCTTTGGAATAGAAAGAAATAAAGTAAAAATTACTTTAAACAGAGAGTGACAAAATATATGGCTGGGAAAAGAAAAAGAGATAAAATAACAACTGCTTGGAATAGAAATAGGTTAAATACCATGCTTGGAATAGAAATAGGTTAAATACCACTGCTTGAAACATAAAAAAAATAAAGTCACAATTACTTGGAATACAAAGAGATAATTAAAAAAGAAATTCCTGGAAGAGAAAGAAAAGAACAGAAACAACTCCAGCAGACCGACCTGGCTCAAGTGCAGAGGGCACTCTGATAAATGCACTGTTGCTGAAGTCGTGACGGAACCCGTTAGTGCCGCGGCTGGGGCTGAGCACATCCATTGGAGTCAGTGCCGTCGCTGGTGTGACGACCATGAGAGGGCTAAAGATGGCTGGGGAAACTGTAAAGAGCAGGATTAAGTGACACTTAAAGTTATTGAGGTGAGGTGTTTATTAGTAATGATTAGCATTCATGGAGCAAAAGGAAACAGAGGATAAAAGGTACACCACAAAAACAGACAATTGCATGCGAGGTGTTAACATATTTTAACCCTACCAGACTGCTGGCCCGATTTTTCGGTAATTTCTTAGCCTGGCGCTATACCGCTGGCTCTAATTTTCGTAATCAGATCTCGTGGATAGTCTTCCTAGAAGTCCGCCCTCGTGTGTTTGGATACAATTTGTTGTTTTACGTGAAAACATTCTGAAAATTCACAATAAAACGAGTGGCTGATGAACCAAGCGCTTCGACAGGAAAGTAAAGTAGGTCTAGGCTTTTCACAGTCCAACAGGTGATAGATACTTTGGTTTATTCAGACTCTGCAGAGTCATAATTTCATGAAGAATACACAGTTGAAGTCACACATTCAGCTTGAATAATAAGGAGAATCTTGAAAATTTTAAATCTAGAAATAGATTGATAGTAAGAGAAGGGAGCGTGTCCCTCAAACAGCGACATCTGGTGCTTACTTTGTGAAATAATCTTGATCCTCCTGAGTGGATTGGCACACAAAGGTGGAATATTGGCACTAGATAAAAGATAAACCCATTTTCTACAATGTCTCCAAGTTTCATCTTAGTCTAACCACTTGTTTGCATGTAACAAATATCTGTGTGTATCATGTTGGTTTTTTTGCGTTAATGCCCAGGAGCTCAGGTATAGGAGGCAGTTAGGTTTAGGGCCTCAGGTCTGGTAGGGTTAAGACAGAATAATAGTATCCCAGTAGCAGTAGAGAAAAAGTAAAGGACCCTTTTCCCAGGCTTTTAGGCCTATAGGGAATATGGGGCTAGACCTACATTATTATAGACCAATCAGCACATAGTGGGTGATGTGGTCAGCATCACGACTGCCGCCTTTACTTCCCAGGACTGCACCTGGTACCCACCGAAGAATGGGTTGACTTAGGAGTCAAGGTGATGTTTGAAAAAAGTCTGGCTCTGTCAGGGCATGAAACCAAGACCTTCTGATCCGAAGGCGGGCTTCTAGCTGCCAATGCCACCTCCATCCTAGCTGCTAAGATTTCTTGAATCCGTCATTATTCGTTACCTCCATCTGGCACTTTATGAACAAAAAGATACTATTGTGACCCTGTGATTATCCTGGTAAAACAGTCAGTTGCTTTTTAGAGTTCTGAATTTGTTCTTCAGCTATAAAGGATTCACTTATTTGCTTCATGTTATTTATCTGTTACTGCAGTGCGCACATGACGATATACAACAAGATATGCCAGCAATAAATCGTTTGCTTTTCTTTGTTCAAATTTACACAAGGGAAACATTGCGTTAATTTCACATTTGTTTTTTGGACTTCAGGTTATCCATCATTAGCTTTTGAGTTACAATAACAGAGCTGAGAAGCATATGGAGTAACATATCAGTCAGTCAGTCAGTTCTCATTATGCCTAGTGGCACATGAGACTTCAAAGAGGACTTTCCATGCTTTCCTGTCCTGTGCAATCTTCACTTTTCCATGTCAAAGATGCCGCATTCAGGTTACTCTCTATCATTCGTCTCCATGTTGTTTTTGGGCGCCCCTTTTTTCTCTTTCCCTCTGGTGCCCATGTGAGAGCTGTTTTGGCAGGTGTATCAGAATTCATTCTCATAATGTGACCATGCCATTTCCATCTTCTCTTGGTGATCAAACTGTCTAGAGTTTCTTGGTTTGTGACTTTGTATCTGGCCAGAAAATTTTGATAATTCTACATAAACATGTGTGGTGGAAGGTGGACAGCTTCTGTGCATCCTTTTTGGTCATTCCCCAGCATCTGCTCCATAAAGAAGAACTGGGAAAATGATGCTCTTATGGAGTAATATATAGCTACCCATATTCTCCTCATCATTTTTTCTTTCTTCTTCTTCTTTTGTCATCACTGTCACTGGATTTTAGCTCAGTGTTGTGAATTTCTGTATTTGCATAGCACTTCTCGAGTGGCCTGAGTTAGCCATCATTTTGTTAATATTTTGCAGGTTTCAGCTTCGCTGTTTATCCACCTCTTTCTTGATCTTCTGCTCTCGTTCTGTCCAGAATATCTGCTGGAGAAGGTATTATTTAGTCTGATCATCGTCTTTCGCCAGCGTGATGATGACCACATCACTCATCTTGTGCCAGTTGGTCTATAAAAATATAGGTCTAGCCCTATATGCCTAAAGGTGTGGAAAAGAGTGCTTTAGTTTTACTTACATCATCTGTCACATTTTAATGCCTGGTGTCTGAGTGGCTCTATCTCTTGATTTTCCTCCACACAATAATCTACTCTCCTAATTTTAAACTGTAGTCAGAACATTCTAAAAAATCTGGCTACCCTAAAAGCAATTATCTTTGTTTATATTGCCATCTTGAAAGTAATATATTCATGAATTTTTCACTACAGTTATTTCTCAACTTTGGCATCTCAGGTAAAGTCAGAACATACTAAAAATCTGGCTACCCCAGTGGTAATTAACACTATTTATATTGCCAAGACTTCACTGAAAGACTTTTGAATTGATCCTAAAACCTGGGAAGGACTGGTCATCATCACTTGTGATGGACAAACATCAACAACAACATTTATACTGCCACTCTGAAAGTAATATATTGGTGATTTTTCACCATGGTTTTTCTCTACTTTGGCATCTCATGTGTGAAACCTCCTGATAGTGATAGGATTAAATAGCCCACAGATAAGAGCAACTGACCTGGCAGTGGATTCTGGTTCAGCCAATGGCTGGGGCTGATGACCGGACTGGGCTGGCAGCTAGACTGGTTGATGCTGGACATGTGAGACTGACCATTTAACAAAAAACTGGTTGTACTGACACTCAGCATCCGAGGGCTAAGTAAACCTAGGATAAAAACGCACACAAAGTATGCGATAAACTGGGATTAAAACATATACAAAATAATCATTTAAATATCAACCAGGAATAAAATACATATAAAATATTGTATAACATGAGATTACAAAATATCGGATAACAAGAATCTTTTTGAGATTTTTAAAAATTAACATGAAATATGGTACAACTTGTTATCTTCTTCTGCTTCTTTTTTGCGTTCGGTTTCGTATGCTCATATCAGACCATCAGGTGGGTTGCATCTATGAACTCGCATGTCAGCAGCAGGTCCTTCATGGTTCCCCATATCTTGCTCTGCACACTTTGCTCTTGAGGCCAGGTGTCTTTTCAAAGTTGTAGGTAGAGTGGGCAGGTCTGCAAAATGTGCTCAGATGTTTGTGGTCCTGTTTGACAGGCACACTGTGGGGACTGTATACAGTCTTTTTTAAGCATGTGGTGGTGGAGCCGACAGTATCCTGTTCTAAGACGGAAAACTGTTGTATATAGTTTTCTACTGAGTCTGCTGTTGGGGTCTTGTGGATGTTTACTGTTGGTTTGTTCTCTCCACAATTCTGTAAATTTGCTCCTTGATAAGTGTTATGATTTCTGGTCAGGACAATGAATGGGTATGTTTCTCTTTTGTTCCATTTTTTGCTTGTTATAATTAAAAAGACAATCACTTATATATAACATGAGGTTTAAATAAAATGGTAAGGTATAACCTGGGAAAAATCACTTAAAATATGGCTGACTCTTTTTCACTTAAAATGTCTTACCTAGACCTGCCAAGGACAAGGCTGTGGGCCCTGTCTGGGTGATGTTTCCCTTAAAAAGGCTGGAATTGTGGGACAGCGCTGTTGACATCGGGCTTAATCCCCAGCAGAACCTCTCTTGTCAGGTACATATTGGCTGCATTCCGCTCAATACTTTTTACAATCACAGACTGGGGAAGGAGAGAAGGCAACATATGAGGGGAGGAGAGAAGGCAACATGTGAGAGGAGGTGAGAGATTGCATGTGAGAGTAGGTGAGAGATTACATCTCAGAGGAGGTGAGAGATTACATATGAGAGGAGGAGAGAGATTACATGTGAGAGGAGGAGAGAGATTACATGTTAGAGGAGGAGAGAGATTACATCTCAAACAAGGTGGCAGGCAATATATGAGAGAAGGCGAGAGATAACATCTCGGAGAAGGTGACAGGCAATATATGAGAGATGGATAAGGATGACCATCTGGCCTAAATATTTATGTTTCCAATTCAAGGTGCTGTTTTTGAAATAAAATAGAAGACTGCAGACGAAAAGATTCTAAACAGCGAAAACTGCAATTCTTAGGTTTTCCAGGAAAAAAGTCATTTGGGTTGGCCCTAATGCTATCTACTGACTTCTAGAATAACACAACTATTATAGAGTCACAAATGATCCCATCTGTTGCACCGACAGATTATAAGTATTATTCAGTTAGGGAAGAATTTAACAAATTGTTAAGTGCTATCAGAAATCAAAGACAGAAAAAACATCACCAATATTTTTACGGGTAATCTAAATGCCAAGAGAGGGCGGGACAACAGAAGTCCCTGTGCGGGTTTAGGGACACCATTTTGAGGGAAAAAGAACAGACTCTGCCTAGGCATGTTGTAAAAGCAACTATTTTGGGTGTTTCCTTTAGAGTGCCACTTGCCTGAGAGGCGAAAAAACCAATAGTCTGCACACAAAAAGATATATAAAATGGATGTGCACACATAACTCAAGTTCTGGAAGAAAGGGGAAAGACCAGAAATGGACAAACAATTAGAACTTTCCGTCATAGTTTATAACAGGTGAAAGCTAAAAAAAAGAAAAAGAAGAAGGACAACACAAGTGATAAAACAAACATGGGGAAACCACATGATGAAATCAAACAAACGTGAGCTTACTTTGCTTGGCTGTTTCGGCTTTGGCTTGACGCTGATGTACACGTCCAACATTTCCATTAACTGAGAAATCCTGCCTAGAAAAACAACAAGTTCTGTAAAAACTGCCTGTATTTTCCTGTTTTAAATTGTGATGCCAACAGGAGAGGGCAGAGAGTTACATCGCATTCATTACCTTATCGAGGCTTTGAACCCAGATGTCCTTTCTGAGAGGTGGCATTGTAACTGTTTGACTAATGGTTTAGAACGAGGATTTCGGGTTGTAAGGCTAGTGTAGTTGCCAGTTGTAGTTGTTTTGAAACCAATATGAGAGACCACTTGGCTAACTGCTTCTTCTTTTTCTTTATTCTTTTGTCAATATTTGCTAATGCCGCTAGTCATCCCAGTTCATCAGAGGATTGGCAGCCGAGCTAGGGCAGGCTCAGTCGCTTGATATGCCGTGATGTTATGCAGTCTCAAGGTGTCAGTGACTCCTTCAATCCATATTTTTTATCAGTCTTCCCCTGCCTCTTGATGTTTCGATTTTCAGGTTGTTCGCTCCTGCTGCTTGCATCGTTGATTTCATTCTCATTATATGGCCATAGCATTTAATTCTTTGTTTCTTAATAAATATGATGAGGGGTGTTGTTCCAACAGTTATTGTGAACATGTCGCTTCTCACTCGATCTCTCCTGGTTTTGTTCACATCCATTCCCAAATATTTCACCTCACAGGTGGTTAGTTTTCTTTCATGTTCTTTTGTCAACCTAAAGTTGGTACAAATATTGGGTGCTTTATTAATATCTTCCCCAGATGACGTCAATCGACAGTTCAATATTTTAGAGGGTGGTAAGGACTGGGTTTTCAGGCTTTCTGATGCTTCTAACGACCCCAAAACATTTAGAACTGGCCCTAACCCCAACCCACCTACGTCCCACGAGAGAGTGCAGCCTAGGTCCCATGACTGCATGCAGCCTAGGTCCCACGACTGCATGCAGCCTATCACCACCCCATGAAATATTAGACTGTCCAGTGACTAGTGAATATATGTTTATAGACTCGTATTTTTATAGCCCATTCGACCCACGGAGGATTATGTCAAAGTCATCAAAAAGAACCCTTTTTTACGCCACTGGGGAATTGGACATATGATTGCAGACATATATTTATAGATAAGTAGGCACTCAGTGCACTTGATCACGCCTCTCCACAATCTGCGATCTCCTGCAGCATGTATCAGTTCGTGTGCTGACACACCTCCATGCCACGCAACAGACTGTCAAAAATCTTCTCTCATTGTCTATCCCTCTTTCCCTCCTTCTACAGATCTTTCCAGTGGTCACAACAATAACGCACCTACAAGTGTTTAAATAAATATTTAAAAAAATTGTCATAACAAATTCATATACATACTTTACTTAAATAATTCTCACCTTGATCAAGCTCAACACACTCTTTCACGTCAAACATCAAAACAAGTGGTAGACAGCCCTGGAAAAGGACAAAACAAATCCCCAATTATTAGCTAGCCAAAGTGGAACCCACAAGGTAAATGAAACTGAAGGAGACTTACAAATGTATGTGAAAGAGGAATGGAAGGTGGCTGAAGAATATTGGCAGGACACAAAGGCAGCAGTAGGAGATGGGATATGACAAGATGGCTAGGCATGAGTTATGCTAAAAAGTTGAATCAGTTTTATATAACCTGTCCCAGATTGCTGCTCAAAATCAAATGGCAAGATAGGATCCCAAATACTGTCATTCCTTACAGGGAAAACCTGCCTAGCATTGATACGATACTGAAGAATTATCAGCTGCGTAGGGCTGGTCATCTAGCCCGAAAGCCAGATTATTGTCTCCCAAAAAGAGTAATTTATGGCGAGCTCCAGAAAGGGAAGAAGTTACAGGGAGGACAGAAAAAGAGTTATAAAGACACTTTCAAAACTGCTCTCAATTCTTTGGCATCAACACAGGGAAGGCCGCCGTTCTGGATGGCGTACATCCCTCAGGCATGGTGCATCAGCCTGCTGTGGAGGTTGCACAAGCAAAGAAACGAAGGCAGACTAGAAAGAACCGTATCGCTACCACATGTACTGTGGCTTCCATCTGTTGTCCTCACTGCTCAAGAACTTTCCAGGCTCATATTGGACTAATCAGCCATCTTTGTACTCATAATCATTGATCATTACTACTTTGGATAAAAGTGGCCTTCATCACTTGTGATGGACGAACAACAACAACAACAACAACAACAGGCATGAGTTAGTCGAGGGTCTTTGCTCCAATTGGGGGATATGGACAGAAAAAGACTGGTTCGGTCTTGTCCCACCTTGCACAAAGCCAGCAGCCTTCTTCTTTATTAATTCTTGAAAGGCCGGTTGGTAAACTCCAGTGGAAAGTACTGGTTGTTCCTCCACATCTGGACTTTAGTACTGCTTCAGAACTTGAGCGTTATGTGTGCCTTTGTTTTACAGATCTGGCTAATTTGTATGCAGACTATTGGTTTCCTGCCTCAGGCTGAAGCGCTAGGACTCTGAAGAAAACACCCCTAACTAGTCAACTCTGGATAATAGTGAAACTCTAACACTAACAAGGTTACCTGACATGGGAGTAAAGCATGGTCAAGCACATCTATGCCGCCTTTGAGGCCGAGATAGGAGATTCGTTAACCAACCTTTCATGGCAACAATTAGAAGAAGTACCATGGAGTGGCTGGTGCATCATAGGACTGAGCACACATGGGAATGCCCAATGTGCAGTGACTTCGATTTATCACAATCATAACTGGTCGACTTTAAAAACATGCCTGTTAGGGGACAGTGGGTCTATTCCCCCCCCCCTTTCCAGAATGCCGCACCGGAAACCACATGGGGGGTGTTGTGGTTTACAGCTAGGCTGCTATATATGCGCTATTCAGTGAACAAATCCAATTTCAGCATATTCTTAATCAGTCAGTTTTAACTCTTTCAGTCCCTAGGGGGTTTCTCATCAGAGGCCCAAGGGGTCGTCAAGAGAGAAATAAAACCAGAGCATCTTGCATTCATTGGGCTTCTAGGTCGGAACTTAAAAATCTATGATGCGTTCCTTGAGACTGAAACAGTTAACAACATGCTTGCCAGTAGCAGTGGGTCTATTCTCTTTTTCCCCAGAAAGGGGCCTCAGCTCCCACACGGGGAAAGCCAGTAACCAGTAACTTACTATCAAATGCTGTCTTGCCAGGAAGGCATTCTCAATGCTCCCATGAATAAAAACAGTTCCCTTTCGTTGAGGAGTGGCCATGTTAGGGTCCGGAAACAGGATGTTTGCCCCCGTCTGCTGCATGATGTGTTTGATGTTGAAGCCCCCTCGCCCGATGATGAACATGTGATGTTGTGGGGCGATTTCCAGCTGCATGGACACTGTCAGGCTTATCTGAGGGCAAAAGTGAACAGATCATGGTCAGGTTTTCCTGAGAAGTCAAGTCAACAGGTCAATGATAAGGTCAGGTTTATCTGAATAAACAGTTGAACAAAACATGGTCAGGTTTATATGAGAAATCAAGTCAAATGATCATGGTTAGGTTTATCTGAGACATCAAGTCAATATATCATGGACATGGTCACATTTATCTGAGAAATCAGGTCATGAAATCATGGACATGGTCAGGTTTATCTGAGAAATTGTGTAAAGATATAATGGATATGATAAAGTTTATCTGGGACATCAAGTCAAGATATCATGAACCTGGTCAGGTTTATCTGAGAAATCAAGTTAAGATATCATGGACACAGCAAGGTTTATCTGAGACATCAAGTCAAGAAATCATGGTCACAATCAGATTTATCCGAGGAATAAGGTCAAGATATCATGGACAAGGTCAGGTTTACCTGAGGAATCAAGTCAAGATATCATGGATATGGTCAGGTTTATCTGAGAAATCAAGTCAAGAGATCATGTACATGGTCAAGTTTATCTGAGAAATTAGGTCAAGATATCATGGAAACTGTCAGATTTATATAAGAAATTAGGTCAATATATCATGGATAAGATTTGGTTTATCTCAGAAATCAAGTCAGCAGATTGTGGATATAGTCAAGTTTATCTGAGAAATCAAGTCAAGAAATCATTGACACAGTCAGGTTTATCTGAGAAGTTAGGTCATAAGGTCAGGTTTATCTGAGAAATCAAGTCAAGAGATCATTGGCATGGTCAGGTTTATGTAGGTCAAGATAAAAAAAAAAAAAAGTCAAGATATCATGGATAATGTCAGGTTTATCTGAGAAATCAAGATATCATGGACAGGGTCACATTTATCTGAGAAATCAAGTCAAGATATCATGTACAAAGTAAGGTTTATCTGAGAAATCAAGTCAAAGGACATGGTAAGGCTTATCTGAGAAATTAGGTCAAGTTATCATGGTCAGGTTTGTCCTGAGAAGGGTGACTATATCGTTCCATTTTCCCCAGGACAGTATTGTGTTTTTTTTTTTTAAAGACAGGCCCAGATTGTCCCATCAATACTATAAATGTCTACTGTCCCAACTGACTCCTACCTTAAAAAAAATTATACTGTCCCGGCAAAAATGGAACAATATGGTCACCTTAGTCCTGGGAAATCAAGCAACAGGTCACGGGTAAGGTGAGGCTTATCGGAGGACACAAGTCAAGAGATCATGATCAGGTTTATCTGAGAAATCAAGTCAACAGATCAAGGCTAATGTCAGGCTCAGCTGTGGACACAAGTCAAGAGACTATGGTCAGATTTATATGATAAATCAAATTTATAGGTCATACATAAGGTCAAGCATATCTGAGAAAAATAAACTTACAGGTCATAACAAAATCAGGTTTATCTGAGAAAACAAATGTATAGGTCAATTTTTAAAAGTCAATCTTATCCGAGAAAACAAATCAACAAATCATAAACTCATCAATACACTGTTTGTTTGTTTATTATATATATAATGTCACAAAGTTGAAATAGATCTTACATTTCCTGTCAGCTGCTCCATGAGGCAGGCAGTCGCCTGTTTGACACCCTTAGCCCCATGGACCGAACCCCTGACAACGGCCGTAGTAGCGTAGGATCGTGGGCGTTGCTTGAAGTTAATGGTGACATTGTGCGTCTGCTGCAGCTGCTGGATAAAAGGGGATGTGACGTCCGGCACCGGCACCAGGGTGGGTGTGACGGGCAGCTCAAACATGAACACAAGTGGCAGCAGCTCCTGCAAGCAAGCAAGTTTTAAAAGATTTATTAAGCAGCTGTAGGGAAGTGTCAAGTGTCTTTACTTTATAGATAATTCAGAAAGGGGGGGGGGGGTGGAAAGTGTCCTTAACTCTTCGAGTCCCAGGGGGTTTAGCATCACAGGCCTAATGGGTAGTAAAGAGAGACTAAAATTGACATATCATGCGTTCATTAGGCTTCTAGTTAAGAACCTATGAACGTATGATGCATTCCCTGGGACTCGAAGAGTTAATTTACAGATAATTTAGGGCAGAGGAGAGGATTTGGATGGGGGGGGGGGGAAGGGAGGTGTGGAAAGTGTCTTTACTTCACAGATAATTTTAGCAGGTTGCATAAGTGTCATTACTCTGAAATAAAAACGAACATAACATTAGAATTGAAAATATGCAACCTGGTTTTCAGACTTGATAAGGCTTTTAAAAGCTGCTGTTGCCTTGTCAATGCATAATTGTGTGTGTGTGTGTGTGTGTGTGTGTGCGTGCGTGCGTGCGTGCGTGCGTGCGTGCGTGCGTGCGTGCGTGCGTGCGTGCGTGCGTGCGTGCGTGCGTGCGTGCGTGCGTGCGTGCGTGCGTGTGTGTGTGTGTGTGTGTGTGTGTGTGTTTCCTTGATGGCTGGCTAAATGGTTAAGATTGCTTCGCTTTCCTGTTTGGGGCACACACAAAAAAACAATCCTAACCTTCACTGTCCGAGGTGACAGCACTAGCCACCATGTGATCCTAAATCCTGAAGCTCAGAGACACCCCCCCCCCCTTCCCACCACCACCCCTTTCTCCTGCACTTACACTGCAAAAATTGTCAATACAAGCAGTGAATGGCAGTTCTAGCAGAGTCCTTGATGATCAAACTTACTACTGAAAAAGGCAACCCGATCTGTCACTTAACTTCATTTTGTCTCTAATATGACCTCAGTCTGATCTGTTACTTAACTTCATTTTGTCTCTAATATGACCTCAGTCTGATCTGTTACTTAACTTCATTTTGTCTCTAATATGACCTCAGTCTGATCTGTTACTTAACTTCATTTTGTCTCTAATATGATCAGACTACTTCATTTTGTCTCTAATATGAAATCAGTCTGATCTGTTACTTAACTTCATTTTGACTCTAATATGACCCCAGTCTGATTTGTTACTTAACTTCATTTTGTCTCTAATATGACCTCAGTCTGCTCTGTTACTTAACTTCATTTTGTCTCTAATGTGACCTCAGTCTGATCTGTTACTTAACTTAATTTTGTCTCTAATATGACCTTAGTCTGATCTGTCACTTAACTTCATTTTGTCTCTAATATGACCTTAGTATGATCTGTTAGTTAACTTAATTTTGTCTCTAATATGACCTCAGTATGATCTGTTAGTTAACTTAATTTTGCCTCTAATATGACCTCAGTCTGATCTGTTACTTAACTTCATTTTGTCTCTAATATAACCTCAGTCTGATCTGTTACTTAACTTCATTTTGTCTCTAATAAGACCTGTCTGATCTGTCACTTAACTTCATTATGTCTCTAATATGACCTCAGTCTGATCTGTCACTTAACTTCATTATGTCTCTAATATGACCTCAGTCTGATCTGTCACTTAACTTCATTATGTCTCTAATATGAGTCTCATCTGTTACTGCAAGATATGTGTCTTGTTATGACTGATAGGTTGTGAAACTTTTGATTCTATATTTGCTGTCTTTGCAGGCAGTTTCATGCAATTCGGTAGCAGATAGCCCTGCATTGATTCCGATGGTTGAAAGAAGGGTGGGTTTCATTCAGAAAACAATGACACTCTACAGAAAGTAACATAGCAAAGTAAATCAATCAATCAGGTGCTATCTTTACAACAAAGGTTGGCTGCAATGGATCTCAAACACTCTCTGTTTGTTTTTTGCCCTGGATGCAGACTCTCGAACACCTGTTGTCTTCTCTTGATGTTATATTCCCACTTGTATCGGTGTCTACCTCATGTTCACTTGCATTCAAAATTTCTTTTTCCCTCCAGTAAGGTTTATAACTGTGTTCTGTCTTTTAATTTGGCTGAAATAGTTTTCTTGTCTCCTTTTTATGTCACTCAGCAACTAAACTTTTAGTCTAGTAAAACTTTTATTAACCGTCAGTTTCTTTTATCTGACACTGGGTCTTTAAAAAAAAAATTGATGACGACGAAGGATCAGTTCTTAACCACAAATCTACAACTAGCCACTCAGAATCAGAAACAAAGTTATCCAAGTACATCGACTGGTTTGAAATGCAAGAGAATGCAAATACAACACAGATCCAACTTCTGGTTAAGATACGGAACATCGTCGCGCAGAAAGCTCAAGCATCAAAGATACCAAAGGAAGTGACAGATTACTTTAAAGTAACCTAGGTTTAGAATATTACAATACATTCCCTACATTATTACTCTTATATAGAAGTTTATACTGATCATTTTGTAAACTTAAATACAATATGTATGTATCATTCACTTATAAAGGATTTTATTTTCATTTTTGTCCGCAGCCTGCAGTGAAATCTTGTTACTACTGTAAATTCGACGTCCGTGGCTTAGGCATTAAAAGTCCGACTCGTAATTCCAACGTACCGCGATCAAAACCCACAGCTGGCTCCATGGATTTTTATCATGGTATGAGGTGTCGCAAGTCAACCCAGATTAAAATGGGTACCAGGATGTATGTCCTAGGAAAGTAAAGATGGCCGGCATAATGCTGACCACATTACCCACCGAGTGCTGATGGTCTGTAAAAATATGGATGCTCTTCCCATATGCCCGATGTGCCTAAAGCGTGAAAAGGGATCTTTACTTACTTTTTTTACTTTACTGTAAATATATATTAAGATATTTCTGTTATCTGTCTGTTTGGTTATCTGTCACAGCCCTGGTTCTGACAGCGAAGGTTAACTGAAGTTTTACAGTACTAGTCATTTCAGAGTGTTGGAGTTTCCATGAAATGCAACAACAAACGATTTTGCCAGGTAAAGCTACACAAAATGTTAGGGTTGGCTTGCTTGCTAAGTTCTGTGAATGATGTGCCACCAACTTTAGCCTTACAGTAATCCAACAAACAGAGCGGCACTGTTTTGTCCGGACGGAAACCACAAGCAGTGCTAGTGTCATGGGCAACTGTGGAGTGGATGTGTAAGGAGTTGTTGTAGTGAATTTTACAGTGGTGCTCAGTGTAAGTGGTGATTATGCATTGAAAATAAAATGCTCACTCAACAGTTATTAATGTTTGTGAAACACATTATTTCACTGTGTGTCTGTAGCTCTTTCTCTCTCTCTCTCTCTCTCTCTCTCTCTCTCTCTCTCTCTCTCTCTCTCTCTCACACACACACACACACACACACACACACCTCACTCTCTTACTCCCTATTTCACTCTCCAATCAAGCAACCTACCTTTAAACAACTAACCAACACTTTAACCAACCAATCAACTGCTCAACCAACCAAACAAGCAGCCTAACCAGTAAACCAGCCAACCAATCAGACAACTGCATAACTAGCCAAAACAAGCAGCCTAACCAATATACCAACCATGCAGTCAGCTAAGTGCCCAACCAATCAACTAATCAACTAACCAACCAAGTAGCCTAACCAATCAACCAACCAACCAATGAGCCAACCACCGAACCAATCAAGCAGCCTTACCAATCAAAACCCAGATACATCTGTAACAACCCAATACCGTTGATCAGATGCAGTTAACCACACTTCTTGCTTCCCTATACCACCTTTCACTGCAGCTCCTTGTTTCAAGACTCTTATGTCAACAAGCCAGCAGAAACAATACATTAGTTGGGATACATCAAACAAGCCTACAGAAAGGTACTCGGCAACCTACTTGATCCCTAAAAGTGAAATCTCCTGCCTTCAGGTAAACCTGCTCTACAGGCAGATAAGATAACACTTCACAGAAACATAGTATAGATGTGAAAGCAGGTGTTGTGGGTAGAGTTACAAACAAGCAAGAGTGGTCCTTGTGCATGTACAGAGGCTTCAAACAACTTAAGGATCCATTTCCCACATTGGGGTGTTAGAGCATGTTGAGCTGAGTTGAGTTGAGTCAAGAAGTGACAACACAGCACTCGGGCATTCCAATGTGTGCTCCATCCTCATCTTCAGCAGCCACTGTAGAGTTCCAATACTAATGGTACCAGTCATAATCTGGTTATATGTCCGTCTTGCCTTTCCTCTGAGTGTAATGTAGTCTGACTTTTCCTCTGGTACGCTGACCCACTCCTCTCCTCGCCCAATTTTCTCCAGCATGCATACTTGTCTTATTGTGTCTTTTGCTTGAGCTATCCACGATTTTCTCCCTTTCAGCCTCTGACCCTTACCTGCAGCCAAAGCTTTATTAAGAGGGTGTTCCCTGTCTGCAGCTACTCAAAAATATGACTTAGCCTGCAGCACCTTTAGCCTATCTATAATATTCAGCAATGCAAGGATGTATCGCATGCACACAGTTGGGGTGTCTTTTGAACATCCCAAAATGACCTGCATAGCTTGATTCTGTGTGCGCTACAGTTTCTCTAGCTGAATCTTCGAGACAGTGAGTAACCCCAATCCATAATCAATCAGTGAGATGATTAAGTGCTGGTTAAGTGTAAACAGCATTCTCGGCTCCATGTCCATTGCTGCCATAATCTTTAGTGGACTATGAACTTCTGAGCCCTAGTCACAACCCCCTCTATGTGATCCCTGAAAGACAAACTTCTGTCAAAGGTGATTCCCAAGTACCGCAGTCTGCTGTCTCTTTTGATGTCCCTGTAATTTATTTTGAGGCTTGGAACATCAGCTCTAACAATCCGGTTGTCCAAAGAAGACCACAGGATGGTTGCCTTTTCTGGGTTGATTATAGCACTCATCTCTGTATGCCTGTCAATCACATTATCTACTTGATTCTGATCTCACCCGTTCATATATCATCATCAGGTGCCTTGCCGATTGGCGTGGGCGATATGCCTCTCCATAATTTGCGATCTCTT